TGTTGCAGGCTGGGGTGACAAAATGACTGGTAGGCCTTTATGAAGCTGAAGATCTCTTCTTGATAATGCAACTTCTGAACCAAAACCTCGCAAGTTGACTCAACCCGCTTTCGTAGTAGGATAAAAGCCTTGTTGTAGAATTTCTATCTAGTTTGCAAGAAAACGTGACTCTGAGGGGTGTTTTTAGGTGTTGAGTTAGTCCCTGCTTAAGTTTTCTGCCAAGTTTTTCCCTGCCTGTGGACACAACCCCCTTTCGTGGCCGGGGCTGCTCCTGAGGGCTCCTCTTCGCTGGGTGGCCGTGCCCAGATACGGGGCTCATCTTCTGTGAACCGAGCTCTTGCAGGAAGCGGGTAACGAGAGCTAACGAGAACGGTTTCCGCAGGGGGCCAGGCCCCAGCAGGGGCTGGGAATCAGCATGCAGCTTATGTAAATTACATCTGTCTGAGAGAACGGGCTGGGGGCTTTTCTGTCTGTCTTGGGGATTGCCTGAGCTTGAAGGAGTTACTTGTCTGTTATACTCGGGGGGGGGGAAGAGTAAGTGTTCTTATACCTGCTTAATTTTAATACCACAGGGAAACAATTAAACTCTTGTAAAACCTGTGCTGGCTTGAAAGTGTCGGATCAAGGCTCCTGGTTTAGGCTTGTCCTAAGTTGTTAGTGTGGGTGAAAGCTCAGGCTGAGGGCTCGGACAGAGGTGCCGCTGCTGCAGACCAGGCTCAGCCAGGTGCTTCGTGTACTCCAGAGTATGACGGTTCTCTATGTTAATGTGTTGTATAAATTGCATTAATGGAAATTCTGCAAGCATGTGGGTGTGTGAAATGCTGAAAAATTCCCTGATTCTGCAGAAGTGGGCTGTTATAAACCTGTAAACTTAGTTTGAAGCACTAGGCAGGTACACCCAGGAGTAAGATATGCAGTGTCCTTAGCTGGTAATGCAAGCCTGATGGCAGGTCTCCTACCACAGCTCGTTACAGAACTGATAATTATTGTTTCAGACACAAAAAAACCCCAACAGCAATGGAAGCTTTTTTTTTTCTCTCCCAGTGTTACTAGGTGGTAGAGCTGAAACGATGGACGCCGTTGTTGCGGCAGGGCAGTTGGAGGTGGTGGTACGGTTTGGGTCTTGGGTCTGTGAAAAGGGGCAAACGGCCGGCTGGAGATACGGCGTTTCGAGAGTGTAATCGCTTTATTTGGTTCATCAGTCATAGAGAACAGTAGGAGTTCTTCACATATGATGTGGTTTTCAGGGTGACTCTTGCAATTTAGATTAGCTGAATATAGCCTTTTTCCCCCCGTTTCTCTCTTGCGTACTCCAGTCCCACCCTGTTTTCTTAGTCCCGCTCTCAGGACATCAGGCTGGTGCCTCTGCTCTGCCCCAACACTTGAACCGCCGAGGGCAGCTGTCAAATCAGCTTCGACAGAACTTCTCAAAAATAGCAAGTTCTCCAGACTTTTGTGAAAATAGACCAGGAGAAGACAAGGAACTCTGGTTATAGAGTTTTCCCCCTTCTGAGGGGAAAAAGAACTTTTATTAGAAACTGGAGAATCCCTACTGGGAGGAGATGCTGGCTGCATAAACCCTGTCCCTGTAGGAGCTGGGCTGTCTGGTATCCTTTTCATCTTCCTCCTGGCACACGTATGGTATACAAACTCACGAGCTAAACTGCCAGGTTGGCTGTGTGTTAACAGCATCTGTTTTTTTAAAATTTATTTTATTAAATGAAGTTTCACTGATTAAATGTGGATTCAAAATCCCTAGCCTTGGAACCGTGCCTTTAAATAAATAAAGCCAGATCCTGTACTGACTTACCACCTTTCTCCTTCCAAGTGATTTATGGTAACATTTCTTTTGGGCTGTCTTTGAAGCTGCACCTCCTTACAGTTCTACGCTAGCTCAGAAGTGCTGTGAGGCAGCCCGTGTGGTGGTGGTCTCCTGCGTTAACTCCCGGGATGGGGCTTGGACGTGTGCTGGGGATGTGTTGCAAGGATGCCTACTGGAGAAAAGGACAGCAGGCAGTGCCCTGTCTAGTACTGGAAGAAAATTATTTCCGCCTGTAGGTTACTCTTAAGGCCCGGTGTAAGGGAGCAGTGAGTTATTAGGCCACCGATTAAATAATTTTTTTTTCTTTCCTTTTTTTCTGGCGAGGTGCATGTTGCCTTGCTCATATCACGTGTTCCCAGTGGGGAGATCTGTGTTGCTGGATGGATGTGGTGCTTTTACTGGATTTTAGTCCAAATGCCCTTAGCATCATCTGAGGAAAGACCTGCTAAGCTATGATTAGATGCTGGCTTTTGAGATTTTGGGAGGGTATTAATGGACTCCCAGCGAAACTCAAGCAATGATCTATTACTTAAGCCTTGAACAGCCATCTTCCAGGGCCACATAATGATTGAGAAGTAATTCTGATGATGATGCAGTTATCTGTGAAAGCGTTCCTCCGACCATCGTGCAAAATGGTGCTGTACTTCGCAAGAGTGAAGCAGCAGGGACGGCTCAGTGAAGGGGTTTGCCAGCTCAGGAGCTGAGCACTCGCATCTGGGCGATGCAGCGCAGAGGTTGTTCCATCGCCCTTGTGACGAAGGGGTATGTATCGCTGTCCTGCTTTTGCTGAGGAGGACGAAGGAAGGTGCAGGTTCCTTTGAGATACAGACCTATTTATGCTGCCTTATGCAACGTTTCTCAAACTACTCTCCATGTAACTTTGAGCTCTTTTTGTTTTTACACGTGTCTCCCTCACAGCTGTTGTTTGGGCCCAGCTAACTACACCTGATGGCTCAGAGCAGCTCCATGCCTTCAGGGTGGGTGCTGGAAATGAGATTTATTTAGTAGCTACAGATGTGAACGCTCGGCCATCGGTCCAGCTGAGCTGATGCCAACAATAACTTGAATTTAGGTTTTTTTTTTTAATTGTAAAATGTAAAAGCTGTCTTAACAGAGTTGTACTACTTTCTTCTTACTCATCCTGCAGGTTCTTAGGGGTGGTCTGCAGGTTGGGAAACGCTCGGGTGTGCTGTGTGGGTACCGCTGCTGGTGGGGATGACCCATCCGTGCCCGGGGCTCCGGGGACTGCTCACCTCCCACCCCGGTCTCTCGCAGGTGGAAGCAGACAATCTCAGGCACTAAGCCGAGAGGGTTGCAGAGCTCTGTCCCTTCGTGGCATGAGCTACAGTGTGTGCTCTGGAACATTTTAAGGCTTTTAATAGAAAGCAGCACTGGAAGGAACAGTGTTAGCCACAAGATGGGATCAGGAAAGAACTTTCTCGCAAGAACTGCTCATTGAGAAATTGCTAGGTGAAAATGCCCAGAATCACTCCAGAAGTGATTCCCTCCCTTCCACCGGAAGGAAAGACGGTTTGGGTGGCCCCTCTCCATCTCACCAGGGGGTTCAAAGGGGCGTTGGCTGCTGAAGTCTCCTCTCCTCCAACACGTGCCCTTTTTGTTGTGTAACCCAAGACTAAACAGTCGGTAAGAGCTCTCTGTCAGGCACGCTCAGCTGAAGGAAAGAAGTTCTGACTGACTCTAACCTGGATTTAGGCTTTTGAGGGATTTAGCACTATTCTTTTTTTTTTTTTTTTCCTGCTTATGTCCTTTAATTTAGGTAAAACCTTTTCCAGCTAGGGTAAGCTTTGGAAGTTTCCAGGGTGCTTGCCTTCTGTGACTTAATTTGAAGACCGTTAGCTGAGGTGTCTCTTGGTAGCTGAGGAAGAAAGCCAAAAGGCAGCCTTTGCTGTGTGTTTGTTGGGGAGAACATGTCCCAGCAGGATGATGCTCTCCTCCAGAATGACCTGTGGTTGATGTGGGGGTGATTATCTGACCCACACAGAAATACCGTGGCATGCTGCGGGCTGCCCCGGCTTCCTTCGGAGCCTGAGCAGCAGTGGTGGGAACCGCAGGGATGTTTTGCTTGGTACTAACATGCAGAACAACTCCAACATGCCGTAATTAAAACTTGAAATGGTCGTAAGCTTCAAGATGTGTTTTAAGGGAGTGTTTGATGAAGTAAAACCCTTCCCAGTTTTCCCTTCATCAAACCACATTGGCAAGGAAACAGCGTAAGCTTAAAGTTAAGGGAAAAACACCCCCAAAGTCAGCAATTTCTTTAAGCAGCAGGATGTTTGCTGCATGATTTTCTTGGTGTCTTACAGGGTGGTAGTGTTCACATTCTTCCATGAAGATCCTCCACTAAGGACACTTCCATGGAATAGCTGCATCTTTTCACAATTTCTTTAAAAAAAAAAAAAACAAAACTTGTCCTTGTGTGTTCTAGCCCACTTTCAGATGTAGCTGAAGTTGGCCAGCCAATTCAAATGTGATGTGGTCAAAGAGAACCATTGCTTTGTTCCCATGTGCAATCTGCTTGAATGCTGCAGCCAAAAGTTGCGGGTTTTTGTGGGGCTTTTTTTTGAAAAATCATTTTAGCAGAGACATTTGTTCTCAATTTCTTCTTTTTATTCTCTCCAGGAGGTAGTGTCAAGTGAAAGCTCAGTGTATGAGGCAGTGTGATGGGGAAGAACATTTTTATTCTGGCTTTGTACTGTCCTGTTTTGCTTGAGAAAAAGGCACATGCCCTTAATTATCCTAGAATTCCTGGGTTTTGTATGGAACTGTAAAATGGAAAAAGCTGGAGTGGCTGTAGTGGTGAACAGGGCGTATGACTTCTTATTTATGGAATGCTCTGCCTTCATTAGCTTATTAGCATTTTGTTCCCCCTAATTTGTGCCGTGTTTGGTTTTGGGGATGGGGATGTCTTGTTTGTGTGGCTGCTTGGGAGGGATGCGCTGTGTTAATGCGTAGCCCCTTTATCTTGCCAGCGCATCTACTGGTCCTTACAAACATGAGGATTTTTTCATTTAGAAGTTTCTCTGCTAGTCTTTATCACTTCAATCATAAATTAACGTATAGGCAAGCTTTGCAGGTGTTAGTCATTTAAGAGATCTGGCTTAAAGTCTGCAGTCTGCAATGTGTCACCGTAAAGCGCTGACGTGAGCGATGTTTGCAGCCGGAGAACGCCGGAGGAGATCTCAAGGATGGGCAGCACCACTACGAGGGAGCCGTCGTCATACTCGATGCCGGAGCACAGTACGGGAAGGTCATAGATCGTCGGGTGCGCGAGCTGTTCGTCCAGTCCGAGATCTTCCCGTTGGAAACGCCGGCCTTTGCAATCAGAGAACAAGGCTTTCGGTAGGTCGTTTCCTGCGATGGCTCTGCCTGTGCGTTCCGGTTGTTCTCTCCTCTCTGTCTCACAGTATCTCTGGATGTTGGCAGCGGTGGTAATTGCCTGGGTTTTTATGTGCAATAACTTCCATTGTAACGCTGTTAATGATTGCATCTTTAGCTTAGCTACAGAAACACCCGAGTTTTGCTGGGGAAACCTGTGCAGCAATACAAATTTTGTACATTTGCGTCTTAACGCCTTAATGTCATTTTAATTATTTCCATTTGTAAGTATAATTTAAGAGTTTGCATTTTAAATATGTATCTGCAAAAATTTAGATGATCTTGCTGTTTTACCTGTTAAACTAGGGGTAGCTATTAATCAATAAAACAAGTTTTGTGAGTTTCTAAAAATTATTTTCTTAGTTTAATTTAAAAAAAAAATAGTAAATAACTAACTTGGGTACTGAAGATATTGTAGTAAATCATGCCAAACTGTTCCTGGGAAGCAACTGAAGAAACCTAACTGGAACTACCACTCATTGTTTGCAGCAAGAAAAGGTCTCACAATTATTTAGTACTTGTACATTTCTTTTTCTTGTTTTATTAGGCTTACCAGGGTATGCCTCTCTCATTGGGGAAATAAATACCCTGAAGTGTACAAATCATCATTGTCAGTTGGGTACAAATCCAGAAATACACTGCACGGGTGCTTTTCGGTCACGTCCAACAACAGATAAAACCAAAGACTTTGTTGCCAAATTGCATTTCTCTAATCAATGATAATTAGTGAACCAGTAAAGAGTATATTTTAGTAAGGCAAATAGGAACTTCTTGATCTCTTCTGAAAACACAGAGAACAGAAAACCCAGGAACTGCTGGATCTATCAGGTATCTGTTGTGTGAAGAATTTCTCGTTCAGCAAAGTTCTGAAAAATACCTTCTCATGTCAGATCTTGTTTATAATTCTCCAACAATCAAGTCTTTAAAAGATGGACGTACCTAATTACTAGTTTAAAAAGAAATCCTGCATCTCCTGTGTGTCGCATTTGAGGTGTGGGTCATAGTACTAATGATGTTTTGTCAGACGTGTGCTGTATTGACGCAGGTTTGCATTGGGGCGGGAGACCTTTTCCCCCTTTCTTTTCACAGTTGAAGGTTCTTCAGAGTCTCGTGATTAGACCTGTTAGACTTGTCATTCCAAATAATTGCACTCTAAAATACAGCAAAAGCTCTTCATTCAAAAGGTCACTTCTCAAGGTTAAGAGAGTGGTTTCAGGTTATCGGTTACCCAGATTGGTCAATAAGCTTTGTGTCCACGGTCTCAGTCAATCATTTGCATGCAAGAAAGCTCAACAGCTACTGCTGCCAGCCACTGGGTGCCTTTATTCAGTGACCGTTGTAAAAATGCAAGATTTTGATATATATTCCACATGTCATGGGAATGGTCAGGTTCCATGTTGCAGCTCATGGTGTCAAAGACAGATGTTGAATCAGCTGAGGAGCTGCGCTCTGGTCTCTGCTAAGGTTTAAGAGAGGCAGCAAGACTGAACGTTTTGCTAAATTGTATTTACATGTTGTATTTAAAAAGCCAGCTCCTCAATGTTCACAGCTACAGAACAAATCTCTAGTGACAAGTTTCATCTAAACGTGACGTGAAGGTCAGCACTTTCCCCAAGATCGTGGTGCTGGGCCAAGGAGGTGCCGCAGTCGGGGGCTCCGCTGGCGTTGGTCTGAATGCTGGCACTGTTGGAGCTCCGGCGCGAGCCCTGAGGTCGGGGTATCAATGCATGCGTTTTACTCCGGGTGTTTTGACGTGGTTCCTGATGTGCCTTTAATCCACTGCAAATAGCCGTTCTAAAGCTAGGTCACGTTGTTTTGGAAGTGGTGTAAGCTAAACCAGAAAAGGGTATATTCATACCAGCACAAGAAGGTATGTAAGAAATTACAAGGTGTTGCAGTAAAAATTCCAAAATCTGCATCCAATGCTAGTGTACTTTCTTGTGGGCAGGTTCTTAAGAAGATGCAGGTTCTGCTCTCACCCTCAAATCATATTTTTTTTCTTTAATACTTGGACACATTAGATAACCTTTCTATATTTTGTGGGATTTTAATTGGTATGGAAAAAAGTAGGCTTTTAAGACTCTACTTTTTTGAATAGGACAGTGTGTAACGATTTTTGACTTCTCATAAGAGTGTTCAATTTGTAGTTGTGGCTATATTTCCTTTAATATTAAATATTCTGTACATATGGCACTTAAGCACATGCTTCTGTACGTGGAATTATTAGAAGCAGTAATGTCACCAGACATTAAGAGTTTTCAGTCTGTCTCTAGCAGCATCTGAGTTTAGGAAATCCATTGTGTCTCCGACTTGAGCAGAAGCGCCTGTACGTGTACAGCAGGCACCAGTTGTGAAGATAGGCGTAGTTTTACGCGGAGCAATACCAGCCGTATGCTTATTGCAAAGCTCACTTGTAGATCCCGACATACAAAGAAATAAATGCTGCCTCTTCCAACTCGCATGCCGCTGTACTTTGGCTCCGAGGGGTGTCCCCCGCCCCCCAACCCTCTGCCTCTTCCCCTGCGTGGAGATGAGGAGCCCAGGCTGGGGGGGCTGGAGGTGGGCTGCAGGGGAGATCTAGCCGTGCGCCCACGGGCGCAAGTACCCTGCTGACTGCGCTTAGAGGTGGTGTTCGGTACGTGGGCTCCTTACTACGTGATTATTTCTGCTAGTAGTACGGATGTTGTAAGTGTGTTGCCCTCTTCTGATGCTTAAAAATAAAAAAACCTATTTTGTCAGTACTTGTGTGACAAATGCTCTAAATAATGCTAGAAGAAAGCTTTATTAGGTACATTTAATCCTGTGTATGCAACTTCTCTCTCCTCCTGTTTTGCATTTCTCGCTCTGAATCATGAATTTGATGTTCTCTGTGAAATAAGCAGTACGTGAGTCCAAGGTCTGGTACACCCACCCGTGTTCGATCCTGGGTCGAGGCCAAAAAGCATTGCCCCACTGGCTGGTGCTTCTGCAGTTCACAGTCTTGCAAATCGCCATGGTTTGCAAAAGCTCTCTTCCCCTTTGGAAAGATTTAATTTTCTGTTACAGCACAAAGTATTATTAACTTCATACCTGCTTGCATGTATTTGACTTCTAACTCACAACCTGTTGCTACTGCCGTCTCAGTTTGTAATCGGGTGGACTAAGGGACATTTTCTTTAGCAGCTCTAGAAATTTGGGAGTCTGTTTTTTGAATGCAGCTCCCCTCCAGATGGCACGAACATCGTGAAGTGTGTGTATATATATCTTAATGCTAGTACTCAGCATTTGATCCCAGCCAGCTTGCTTCTCTCGTAGTTGACACTTGTCTACGAGGAGTTTAAAATGCGGTCTGGTTAATATTCGACTATTGTTTAAACGGATGAAATACCTCTCTGGTAAGCTGCTGGCTTCGACAGCTGTAGCATAGCAAAGTCAAGCTATATGTTAGGATATCTGTGTTAAACTTTATATTAGAACGTACAGAATTCTAAGAATGTTGTGAGACAATGTCAATGTTCAAAGCAAATAAATTGTAAAGTAAACAATATATTTGAGTTAATGTTTTCTTTCTTTTGTCTGCAGAGCTATCATCATATCTGGAGGACCAAACTCTGTGTACGCAGAAGATGCACCCTGGTTCGACCCAGCCATATTTACCATAGGAAAACCAGTCCTTGGAATCTGCTACGGCATGCAGGTGCTGTGAGATACACGTTTGTCTTCTAGGCCTCGTTTCTGACATGACCTGAAGATGAGCTGCTAAAGAATCTGCTTTCAAATATAACCAGTGTGCCACATGTGCAACAGATGCTTTTAAAGTCCTAACTGGTAACCTGAGCATACTGTGTGTTCTTCTCTTGGCTCTGCCATATCGGTAGCATAAATGGGGTTTTTAAGTGCTGTGAATTGAGCTCCACGCTGCCTTTTTTGTCCCTTCAGTCATTAACTAATTCTGCCTAGTTGGTATTGGAAAATGTGCCCCTCATGGAAACAAGTGAAATAGTTTCTCCCTTTGGTTTTTGAGCATGTTTCTAGCATCGTTCTTAAGAGTGCTAAACACACAAACACACAAACACACACACACACCCCCCCCCAAACACCTCTTTGCCCCAGGGCTGGCCGGTGATCCTGCAGTGATCTAGTAGATCCAAGCTGAGTGAGGAAACAAACATCCAAGGAGACGAGGGATGGATTAGATGCATGACTTCTGCTTGTGCATCTTGGTTTTTTCCAGCGTTGGTGATTTACTAGGCCTTCAGAAATGCTGAATAATGACTGGAAAAAACTCTTTGAGAATGGCTGGCAATTACAGAAACAATGTTGGCACTCCCTGTTCTAAAGGGAAACGTGATATATTAAAACATGCCTTAAAATGCCAAGCAAATTGAAAACCACATTAGCCTCGAGCAGGGGAGTTCCTTAAGGCTGACTTCATGGAAATGAATCAAGTATGCGTATTAACGCACTACTACTTTGTTATAAAAGATGGACATCAGTCAAGCACAGTAAGTAAAATATCAAACTAGGTCTAAAATGAAGCCTTTAATCTGTGGAAAATTAAAGTAGCTGAAAGGTGAAACTGTAAAAATACTTTAAGTTGCCAGTTGTATTTGCAAGGAAAAAAAATATCTTTGTTTTGAGACTTCTGAAATCTAAAATGCCGATACCCAACTCCAAAAGAAAGGTCGCGTTTTAGAAAGATATGGGTTGAGAATTGTACTGCTCTGATACAGCAGAGATTATTAAGAGTCATAAATTTAACACTAGGGTAATAGACTCAAGTTTTTGACTGATTCTCCAAAGCTGAGGAGCCAGATTTTGAGAAGTTTAAGCCTCCGTGAGAGCCCTTAACTAAAGGATAGATAATTCCGGTTTCTGTTCAGCAGCTTAACTTTTAACTGTTGTCAGTCATAGGCAGACTGAGGTATAAAGTGGTACGAGATCGTGTGGCGCTTTTTCATGCGGTGTTTTTGTTTTGACAGATGATGAATAAGGTATTTGGAGGTACAGTGCACAAGAAGAGTGTTAGAGAAGATGGAGTGTTCAGCATTACTCTGGATAACACGTGTTCCCTGTTCAGGTGAATGCATAGACATTGTAAATTATCAAAACAATATTGGAAATACCACTCTGGAAATTGGTGTCTGGATGATAGGAAGCTTATTTTAAAGAAAGCAGTGAAATGGCACCCATGCTTATCTGATAATTTCCAATAAAACTTCTACAGCTGGGTTCATGAGTAAACAAGTTACTAATTTAAACATATACTTAGGCATAACTTCTTGAATGACTCTAGAAATGCTGATATATTTGCTTGGAATATTGTGTAAACTCCTTGTTTCAAAGTAGCACATCTTCACTGAGACACCGTACAGCGTACCACACCATGAGAATCTTTGTGCTAAGCTCTTGTCTCCATCTGCTGTGCAGTGCATTTCTCTTGTGCTGGTTGCCAACCGTCCAATTTTTGAAAAGTAATAGAAAATCTGAAACCATTTGTTTTCTGCTTTCCTTTAAAATTGCTTTGTGATGTTTTATAAAACTAGACTTAGACTTCTTGGTAGTTTGTCAATGCCTCTCAAGTTCCTTGTAATAGTTCTAACGGTTTACTTGTACCTGACGTCCCAATTTTATTAACTTTCCCCTGTAGGGCTACTGCAGAACTTTATACCCTGCCTAAAGTCTGAGGTGCCCAAATTGTCCTGAAAACACTTAGTTTTGAGCAAGAAAACTTCACTTCATTGAAATAAAAAGTGTTCTGAATGACTCTAGATGGCTTTATATGTCAAAGGGGATACGTCAATATTGGTGCGTTTATTAAAAAAACCCAACCAACCCACAAATCCTTCTGAATAAAAATAAATTACCTCTTGCACAAAGGATGCGTTGTGTGAAAACTTACACAGCTTCCACTGGAGGCATCTCGGGGTTGGCGATGACTGTTTCTGGGAAGGAAATCCTGCAAATATTTCAGATGGGCCTGGTCAGTTGAGATCTGCTTTTATTGGGGTCCCTAAAGGCTTCTCTTGGAAATGCAGGGAGTTTGGTCTTGTTCTTTTTTTGAATTGATTCTAGTTTTTAATCTTTGTTTAGGGGCCTTCAGAAGGAAGAGCTTGTGCTCCTCACTCACGGAGACAGCGTGGATAAAGTAGCTGATGGATTCAAAGTGGTTGCACAGTCTGGGAACATTATAGCAGGTATTTTTTATATTTATGTAAGGTGTATACAAAATTGTCTTTTTGATAGATTCATTAAAGGAAAGACTATGGCAGACAGTGGTTAGAACCAAATGGGAACAGACTACTTCTGTTATTTAATTGCCAAATAAGTGAATTGTTTCTAACAATTTCTGGTATGTGTTTGCTTGTGTGTTGTGCTGTCCTGATAATAGATAGACAGATATGCAAATGAATGGCCCTGATTTTAAATTGGTGGTTTAAGGAAAATTTAACTTTAAAAATAGAGTTTATGTTACTTTAAAGTATGCATGTGTTGTTTCTCTTGAAATAAAATACTGTGTACACTTAAGGCAGGGGAGAGGAGGGCATACACTGCAGTGTGCAGTGTCAGCGGTGTTTGGCTTTTGCACTGTAATGGTACAGGTCAAACGCTGCTTCGTTATCAAAGCTTGATTAACTTATTGTATTTAATATTATTGCATGAATATTCAACCAAGCAAAAATAATATTGGCACTGAAAGCAGTGTTTCAAACATTACACACGGTTTGTCGCAGAAAGATGTGGGACCTTTTTGGTTTTTGAAAGCTACTGAAATTATTGGATGCCAAACAGCCTCTTCGAGTCTCTCTCCTAGGAGATGGGAGACCTGGAGAGGTCTTAGGTTTGCTGAGCCACTTAGTAAGGTCTCAAAGTATTCACCTGGTTTATTTGAAATCTTTCACTTAAAAAAAAAAAAGCTTAGGATCAGATAGATAACTAATTTGAGAAAAAACTGACCTTTTAAAAGATTTAAAGATGCTTTCTTACTGAAAGATTCTTTCCCAACTACTGTTAAGATAAAACAGAGTGTTTGTTATATTCTGGCTTGCCTTCAAAGCGATCTGGAACTCATGCCTACTCAGATCACTCTCTAAATTGTAAAGTTTGCTGCATCCAGTGTGCAAGCTCCACCAGAGCTCGATATCTTTAACCCCGCTTTGTGGAGGCATTAGAAACAGTCGTACCTTTCCTGTGCCGTTTCCTGTGGGCTCTTACAAAAAAGCCTGTGGCTCCTTGTGCCTCAGCCACCAAAGAAATGCTGGTTGGGTGGTCGCCAGGCTTCCAGCAGCCAGAGCAATACGGTGATACGGTGTACCGGGGAGTCTAACGCAGCTCAGTGGAATTAGGCAATTTCCTTACTATGTTTTTAATCCCAGTTTGACCAGCACTTAGTTGGTGCGAGGTGCAATGTTGATCCGCTCGCAGTGAGCCTCCAGAGACTGTTAGAAAGGTGGTGCTCACAAACGTGCTCCTGGAGGGACGCTCGCACAGCTTGACCAGCACCACCCTGGGAACGTTGATGCAGCTCTGTCGGTGTGGCTTGGTTGCAGGGTTGTATGAGCTATCATGTGGTGAGGAAAAAAATTAATGTAATTGATGTCCTGTTTTCACAATGGTTTTCCTGGCATGTCTGAGCGTTTTCCTTGGTTTCTGAGGGACTGTGTGTCCTAGATATGTAACAGTACCCTTGTTCCTAATCTTAACCAGAATCTTTAGTTTCGATTGGTGATTTGTGCCAAAATGTGGCGGAGTAAATCACTCAGTGTATGCTTGTTTTTCTCGGGTGTACGTTTCACTTCCAATTTTTTTTTTGTCATGCCCATTTCTTTGCACCAACAAAGGCATAGCAAATGAATCTAAAAAACTGTATGGAGCACAGTTCCACCCTGAAGTTAGCCTCACAGTGAATGGAAAAATGATCCTGAAGAATTTTCTTTATGATATTGCGGGATGCAGTGGTACCTTTACGGTGGAAAACAGAGAACTTCAGTGCATTCAAGATATCAAAGAGAAAGTGGGCTCATCAAAAGTCCTGGTAAGTAGATTGAACTGAAGCTGAAAGGTTATTTGCATGACTGAAACACTGACACGGTTACTCAGGTTAATTTGAAAAATGCAGAATTGTTGTGATTTGGGGAATACATTAAACAGATTTTTAGAAAGTTTGCACAACTGGGTCGATGCATTGTTTGACTTCTTGTTTGCTTCCAAATCATTTAAGTCAATAGTCTGTTCTGTTCCTTGTAGTTGTATCTGAATTATTTGTTAACACTTTACCTGTAGACAGCTGACCAAATTTTCGTGGGTGTTTTTGTTTTGTTTTCTTCTTTATCCTTAGGTTTTGCTCAGTGGCGGTGTGGACTCAACAGTGTGTACTGCTCTCCTGAACCGAGCTTTAAACCGAGATCAGGTCATAGCTGTACACATAGATAACGGATTTATGCGCAAAAGAGAGAGTCAGTCTGTGGAGGAGGCACTCAAAAAACTTGGGATTCAAGTTAAAGGTACCGGAATTTTGTTAAATATGTGGCCAGTCTCCTAAAATGTACATTCAGTGTTTTGTTTCATTCATTTGAATTGACCTTTGCAGTTCTCAGACTCTCCGTACCAAAGCACGATTGCTAATTTGGACCAACCCAGACCTATTCACAAAATTCCAAACCTAAACCATTAAGCCTTCCTTATTCGATCGGAGCACACGATGAACTGACCCAGCTCTTCAGTTGCTGAGATACGCTGTCTGCTCTTGGGGCACAGCAGAGCAGTGGATCTGTGCCTCGGTCGCTGGTGCTCAGTCACTTTGCTGCTGATGGGTGAGCAATCCTTTTCAGCTGCTGCAAAGCTCACGGACGGCAGGTTTTTTCAGTAGTGTGGTTAAGTCCTCCACTGGGGCTTTATTTCCTCTCCTGGATCTCTTTCTTTTTAAACTGTGAGCTCATTTGGGCGATCAAATGCTATTATAGCCAAAATTACTTTTTCAAGGCTTCCCCCCCCCCACTGTCCTGGCTTCTAAATAGGTGCATTTTAGTTGGTTTTGGAGTAGCTTGTTGAGCTGTAATACACTATGAGAGAGCGGAAAGTACCTTGTCATGGCTGAGAAAGCTTAGAGTTTTTTGGTACCTGAACTGTGAAGAGGTCAGAGAAGACAAATTATGTCTGAGCCGTGCAAACAGTAAGAGCTGCTTTATACTGCCCAGCTGATTTACTTCATGAGTAATAGCTGCCTGTTCCTGGGGCCGTGTGTATGTACTGTTGCCAAGTGGTTGTCTTGTGTTTTGGTCAGGAACCGTGGCACTAGGTGAGCAACGCGTTCCACTAGCCTGACAGCGCGAAGCGGTGCAGGGCGCTTGCACGTTAGCGTCGTGCAGATTGGGCTGCAGTATCCTGATGCAGCAAAGTCTAAGCTTTGTCCTACACACATCTTGGGGTTTTTTAATACTTTTTTTTTTTTAGTGGAAAATCTATGTCTTACTCTTACACTCTGTAGAGCAATAAACCTGGATGCTGGCAGGCTGCCAGAGTAACAAATTGAGGGAATCCCTTTGCTGTAAATTCTCCTTCTGTAGGTCATGGAGTTCAGTCCTGGTAAGAGATACTAAAGAGCCTCCTAGCTGATCTCTGCATGCAGAGCCTCTCTAAATTAGAGGCATAATGTACCATGAGTAAATAGTGCATCATTAATTTTGGTTGCAGAAAGGCCTTGGGGAAATACCATCCTGTAAACTATTTAAATAAAGCAAGTAAATTGTAATCTGAGAGGGGAAGCAAGAACTGAACTTTCACACTGTTGCCTAGTTTCATAATATGAAAAAAATTGCCCTCTGGAGTAGGTTAATGAGGGAAATAAAATGCTTTTGTTACAATTAATTCTTGAGGTATTGAATAGCCCTATTCAATGCAGTTAAAGGACTGGAATGATTTTTATTTTCTTCTAAAGCAAACATTTTTTTGTAAACTTGCATAAAAATCTTTACTGACTTTGCCAACAAATTCCTGTAATTTCCTGCAGTGGTGAATGCAGCTCATTCATTCTATAATGGTACAACAACTCTGCCCATCTCAGATGAAGACAGAACTCCACGTAAAAGAATTAGCAAGACCTTAAATATGACTACAAGTCCTGAAGAAAAAAGAAAAATTATTGGTGACACCTTTGTTAAGGTAATGTTTATAATTACTTGTTGGTTGGTTTTTTAACAGTAGGATTTCTAGATACATCTTCTGTGTCAGACTGTTTCACTGTGAAGGACTGTGCACTCAGTGGTATCAGTGTTCTTAGAAGTTGTGGATGACCTAAAGGAGTCGTTGGTACGTTACCGTGATCCTAACGGTTTTGGCAGTCAGTGGTCACAACATGGTTCACAAGCATTGTACTAGATCCACCATCATGTTTAGATGTACTGTACTGGTTGGCCATTGACTGCTGTTGCGTGAACTTCCGTGTAATGTTTTGTCACCAAACTGACGGATAATGGGAGTTGGGGCGTGCTTCTGAAGGTGAGCCCTTTTCCGTCAGCTACCAGTGTTGGTGATGCAGGGACAATATAACGCTTAATGGGCAATGATGTTCCTGTAGTCTGAAGATACTCTTTCCATTTGCTGTCCAACAAAATGGGGGGTTATAGGACTATTTCAGCAGTGGGCTACTGTCATCATTAGTCTTCCTCTTTGTTTGTGGTTCTGCAGCTCATTAGCATTTGTTGGAGGTCCATTATCTTCCCTTAGACCTTTGATAATTGAAAAGTAGATTGTAATGCTTCTCTTGTTTTCTCTCCAACTTAAAGATTGCCAATGAAGTTATTGGAGAAATGAATCTGAAACCTGAAGAGGTTTTTCTTGCTCAGGGTACCCTCAGACCTGATCTCATTGAAAGCGCTTCCCTTGTTGCAAGTGGCAAAGCTGAAGTCATCAAAACTCATCATAATGACACAGAGCTGATTCGAAAGTTAAGAGAAGAGGTAAATGAAAATGAGGATACTGCTGTATCTTTCTCGGTCTCACAGATGTGAAGCTGAGTGTCAAAAATGAACAACTTGTGTGTTTTGCTGCTATAACTGTCCCATGTTGATGGGACCCTATTCCGATGAGGCCCTTTAGATTCTATTGTAATATCTTGAAATTTATTACACTTCTTTCTAGTTGCTACATTGTCAAAATAGTAAAAATTGGTTGAGTATTGTCCAGCACTGAGGAAGATGTCAGCAGATTGAACATGGATTCATTCAATGCGAGCAATGGTGTTCTCAACTGCAAGCTGAAAGCTGTTTCCTCACTCTTTTACCTTTTAACCCTCGAAACAAACCTGCGTTCTAGTTAAGGAAGCAGAGCAGTACCAAATGCCTTTAGCAGGAGAGTAGTTGAAGACTTCTTGGACAACTTTATTCTGATTGAGCTGGAATGCATGATGTAATGGGTCACTTATTCCTTCTGTTGTATCTTGTTCTCAGCACTCGTCAATGAGTAACCTTTAGGTACCGATAGTCCAGATCTGGCACATCATGGATTCAGGCAAGAGTGATGACAGTGCTTTAGTGAAAAGATAACCAACTCTTGTTGAGAGAGAGGGCCAAAACTCTCCTCTTGAACCTCTTGTAACATTCAGCATTGCAAGTCTAGTATTCTCCTCTCTCTTGAGAGAGAATGAGAATAATACATTTAAATGAGCTGAAATCTAGGGATAGTTCCTTCAGGTACCTACAGGGATGAGTTCTTTCTGTTCTTATGCGGCCTCTGCATCATGTTTCTAGTAACCTGATCGGCTCTCTGCCAGCCGTATGCTGGTGGCATGCAGTCTGCTTGCCACTTGTCAGTTTAAGAACCCACAAATCTTTCTGAAATGGCCCAGCATGGACATCTGTGGCTGACCACCAGGAGCTTGAAGATGATGCCAGCACAGGAGGTTGAACTGTGTGTGGATAAGTAGCCTGAGTCCTGTCCCATCGATTGTATTCCCAATCGATCTGTTCAGGCCAAAGTCCAGAAAAGCTTTCTGAATACCTTTCCCGCACGCAGCTCCTATGTATTTGCATCTGAAGCAAAGGTAGGAGACTGCCCTATTTTGTCTTTTCAGACATTAGAATGGTAAGTCCTCTGTGTTATAAAATAAGAACGAGCCAACACGTGAGACATCACATAATACCCCTGTTGGAAGGTGCTCAGTTGTTATTAAGTGTTCAGCCACAGGAGAGAACTGTTCATGCTCCACACTTCTAATATTCATCACTATACAAAGTATTTTCAAGGCTTTGAACATGTAGTGAAGACAAGAGAGGTCTGAATTTGTGAAAACCAAGAGAACTTGACCTTACAACTATATCTACATTGATACTTCTGGCACAAACTAAAACCTCCTTGTCTTATCCTTTGTCCTGCAACTGTTTTACAAAGCCCACATTCATTTGTACTTTTCTTTCCGGTGTTTATGCAAGTGTTGGCAGCCGATGCTGTGCAAGACAGGCCAGTTTGACTGCCATAACCTAAATATTTGGGGCTTTTTGTTTGCATATCTAAACTGGAGTGCAAATTGCCTTTTTTTTTTTTTTTTTAAAGGGGAAAGTAATAGAACCACTGAAAGACTTTCACAAAGATGAAGTGCGAGTGCTAGGAAGAGAACTTGGTCTTCCTGAAGAGCTGGTTTCGAGGCATCCCTTCCCAGGTAATGAGAGTTGGCCCGTGCTATGTAGTGAAGGGCTACGGGTCACATCAGTATTGTTCAGAAGATACTCAACCTGCAGTATGTTGGAGTATAAAACTTGCCTCTAAACATAGAAAAAATTGATGGATTTAAGTTTTTATTTAAGCAGGATCTTTCAGGAAAAGAGCATTTGAGAGCAGCTTTATTATGTGTAGTGATTAAAGGAAAAGTTTTATAATTGAGTTTGCTTTTAGCTGCATTTATTTCTTTTTAGTTGTGTAAGTCAAAGCGAGAATTATCAGCTGAATGCTGCCTGAGCTGTCAAATGTATCATACTTGAAATAACAGCCTGTATCTGCTTGCCTTTGAGGGGCATTTGCTGCTTTGAAAATGATTGCATGGAGAGTAACAACGGTTCTCCGCTGGAAAACATCAAAGTATATAATATAGCAAAGTCCATGCCCTTTCAGGAGGGGGATGTTTATCTGTCCATGTGTTTTAAAATTGTCCTGCAGGGTGTGTAGTAGGCACTGGCAGAGCGCGTAGGCTGCTGCGCTAACGCACCAGCACTGCACGAAATGCAAGAAGCTGTCTTCAGCTCTCCAGCAAATTACGTGTGCCTTTGTGTTAAGTAGCTGAAAGGTCAAAGAGCTGCCAGGGGTCTTTAAAAACAGTGGAGACTCAACGTATAACCAAGTCTTTCATCCCAGTTGCCTAGCAAAGGGAAGGAGGAGGTTCCTGTTTGCTTTGGCTTGCATCTACCACACTTCATCACCACTAACTGCTACTCTAAACAACCAGCCAATTTAAGGTGTAGGTAAATAATGCTTAAATGTACCAAACAGAAGTATTGTTCCGGAGCAAACGGCTTGTGTATTTTCTTTTTTTTTTTTTTTCTTGCAGGGTGTTAAGGCCACTGAAGTATAGGTACAATGGCAAAACATACCGTATTTGGTGATTGACCTGCTGTTCCCAGATGCTGTCACATTTTTAGATGAAAATGAGTTTCCTGTTGTTTAGTATAATGTTTTTTCAACTTTGCCTTGCAGGTCCTGGTCTAGCAATCAGAGTGATATGTGCTGAAGAGCCTTACGTGTGCAAAGACTTTCCTGAAACAAACAACATTTTGAAAATAGTTGCAGATTTTTCTGCAAGTGTTAAGAAGGTAACAAACTTGCTAAATTCCAATATGCATAAAAGTAGTGTGATCATTCTGTAGTGGCTTGCAATGCGGTTTAAGCTGCTGAAAGCTTAAAACTATTTACTTGTGCTCTTTAAGGAGTGATGCATTCCAGCACAACTCACTTGAAGCCGTTCAGTATATTACAGTAGAGGTTTTTTTTGCGCCATGACTGGTGGAAGTGTTAAACAATTTCTGGAAAATGGAAGCTTATGTACCTTTCAAACGGTGAATAAATTTTGTTGTAGTTAAACTTTCTGCGGATGAGGATTTCTGGAGATTTTTCCCTCCCTGAAATAATTGTAACTTTCTAGATGTGCATGCCCTAATGATCACTGAGTGTCTAAATGAAAGTGCAGGAGGGAGGAACTAAGTGCCTGCCAGGTGTCCTGAGCAGAAACCTCAAGTTTTTAATCGCTGGTGTTTAAGTTCTCAGTCTCTTAACTGTTCGCGATTACTGTAAGCTCACTTGAACTAAACTGCAGGGGGCTGGAAAGTTGTTAGCAGAGGCCTGCTCTAAGTCCTAAGTGCAGAATGACTTCCAAAACACTGAAGGGGAGTATTTCCTTGAAAACTTATTGAATTGCAATGTAGTGTACCAGGATATTGCTTTGGTTTGTATCTGAAATAAGCAACAAAAATGAAAAGTATAGCTCTGTGAAAGAGAGAATGACCACAGGAGAAGAGCTGCGCCTATGGTCTTGGAGAGCTTCAGCTTGAACTACATACAGTCCAATGAAATAAAACTGCTTGTTCAATGGAAGGTATTTTTTAAATAGTTCCAAGGGGTAAACATGGATTAAATTTAAGCAATCAGCTGCTTTGAATGCAGATAAAATTATGTATAAGTTCTGTTTGCATGCTTGGGGGCTTTAATTAAACATTATTTTTCTGTGTCGTTGCACAGCCACATACTTTGCTGCAAAGGGTCAAAGCGTGTACAACTGAAGAAGACCAGGAGAAGCTGATGCAGATTACAAGCCTACATTCACTGAATGCCTTCTTGTTACCAATCAAAACTGTGGGAGTGCAGGTAAAGGGATTCATTCCAGGGGTGTTCCGAAAGCTGCTTCCTAGCAGTGTGGCAGGCTGCAGCGAAGCATAATAATTGCTGCTTTAAGATTGAAAATAAAGGGCTCGACTCAAGAACATAAACTCCAAGTGACTGTGATACCTATGTTATTGTCATTCGTCAGTGCTGGTGTGGCACAAAGGTGTCAAGGTATCTGAATAGGCGCTCGAGTAAATGCCGGGTGTGGTACTGGAGGGTATCGCTAAGGTTGAATAATGCTGGTCACTTAGACGCAGTTTTTTCGTGACTTCATAATCTTGTAGACTGCTGTTGTAATCCTGTTGCCTCCTTTAAGGCTGAGGACTCTTAGTCTGAGTTGGTAAAAAAACCCCCTGCTTCCTACACTTGAACATGCTTGTTGCCCTTTCCTGTACTTTTCAAATGGTACTTATCCTTGAGAGGGGAGGAACCAGAGCAGTGCAGGCTATTCGGGACACGGCAACACTCCAATCTGTGCGTGGCATAGTGCTTTCTTTCCTTTCACTCCTTTGCTAATGCCACCAGAATTTTTGTGGGCTGTCCTTTGTGTTTGGTTGGTGTTTCTGTCAGCAAACGCTGAGCTGGCATTCTCGTGGAATTGTATGCAGTAACTTGGAAGATTTCTTTACTGAGTAGTCATAGCTGAAAAGTACCTTTCTTCGCTTTATCAGTGTTGAATTACATCTTTTATCAGCTGCTTAATCGACTGTGTCTCTTCAGTAACTCCCTGCAGTCAGCTTTTCTTACTATTTTAAATAGCAATATCATCAGCAGATTTCTACACTCCATCACAGGCTTTCTTCAGATGGTGCCATCAAAATAACAATACCCAGTCAATCCCTGTGCTCAGGTCACCTTATGTGAATCTTTCCATTCTGAAAATTTTCCTTTTAAATGCTCTTGTTAGCTCACGAGAGGTCTGTCTTATTCTGTATTTCCTCATTCACTTGGTATTTCTCGGTGTACCGATTTCACCAACTTTTAGTGCCTGCTAAATGCTGACACAAAGTATGGTCCTGTAACCCACTGGATGAATGGGAAAGTCTTGTGAACTATTTTGGCGGCAAGCTTCATGTTCAAATTTTTTTTTTTTTTTAAAATTTCTAGGGTGACTGTCGTTCATATAGCTACGTTTGTGGGATCTCTAGTAAAGATGCCCCACACTGGGAGTCTCTTATGTTTCTTGCCAGGCTTATACCACGCATGTGCCACAACATAAACAGGTAAGTACTTTGAATTACCTTTATTTCTAATGATCTATTTAATGTACGGAAGTTGAGCATGCAGAAGCATTCTCCTGTTTAATCTATGATAGAGTTTTTTTTGTATATTGGGCAGGTGTGTCGGACAGATGTTACAAATACACAATAAATCAAAGCATAGGTTTATTTCTGGACGTACTAGCTTGAAAAAGAAATTGATAGCCTATCTCCTTTTTTTAAGCCCTTGATTAGATAACATCCACTGTAACTTACGCAAAATCTTTTTGAAAGCTTCCAAGGCTGTAAATGAGTTGTGATGTCATGCAGTTGTGTTTTGCTTTATGTCAAAAAGGGAATTTACGTGGGACTGTCGGTTCTAATGACACAGGAAAGTTCCAAAGCTGGGCAGTTTCACCTTAATGGAGCTCTCTTGTGAATATGCATTTTCTAGCTGCTTGATTCCATAATTTCCTAGCAGTTGAAATTGCTTAGGTATTAAATCAGTTCTGGAGAACGCATATCCTCCTTGCCTGGCTGTAGGCTTTCTGACAAAACTGCATATAATTGCCTATAGCACAACTTCCTTTTGTCACATAAGTGACGCCTGCTGAAAGAGGTATTATTCTTAAAGGCAAGATCTTGAATTGCAAGATACCTCTTTCAATGCAGACGGAACAAAAGAAGGTATAAAATCAGGATTGCATGTGCAATTTCAAAGTACGTGCTGGATTTACAGCACTGCTGTCGTCTTTAAGCTCTTTTGGGTTTAATACTACCCTCTTGAATATACCACATCTCTGGGAGCTCTGCTGTACCGGGGTATGTTTTCAGAATCTTTCATTGATGTTTATAGGGACGCTGGAGCTGGCAGTCCGAGGAGTGCACTGAAATAGTTGGTCTTCTGCCCAGCTGTGCTTGCAGACTTTATATTGCAAACAAAAATATGGAATGTAAAGCTTGCATATTTTTCTGCTTTGGGTTTTAGACAAGTATTCTTGGTTTGTCTCTACAAACTCACATAACTTGTGTGAATATGTCGTGGTAAATCCTTGTATGAGGCCCATCAGTCAGTATCATACTTTGCGTTTTGTTCTGCAACACAGAAAACACAAGAAATCCGATAAAAAGATAAAGCTGATGTGACTGGTTTGAATTCAGAAGATATTTTATTGCGGATGTGTGGATTTACAAAACTGCACTGTTAGTGCCCTGCGCTGAAAACACAGCTATTCATTAACAATAAGGTTTACTATTTAATGGTATTTTTTGGTGGTTTCCTATTAGGAAAGAAGATAGAAATTGTAAGCACTTACTAAGTAGCTTTCGTAAAATGTTAACTTTCACTGTCATCAAACTAAAATTGAAAAAAACACCCTTTGTGATACCACTGGGTGAGTATTTCTGTTATTTTTCAAAGGATTATTCTCTTGAATAAGTAATACTGGGCTATTGCTAGTCTCTAGTAAACCAAAATAAATGAGTACATTTGACTTCCAAAGCTAGTATGCATGTCATGTTTATAGAATATATGCATGAAGCTATATTAAGCTCTAGTTAGTAGCTAAGGAGCAAAATCAAACATTAGGCTTTTTTCCTTAGTTTTATTTTCTCGCTGCAATACTAAAGGTGCAGTTTTTAAGCAAGCTGTTTTACTCCACGTACGCAAAATGTGTTTTTTCTACCATCCTGTTTGTTTTCCAGAGTTGTGTACGTGTTCGGTCCACCGGTCAAAGAGCCTCCTACAGATGTCACCCCCACGTTCCTGACAACAGGAGTCCTCAGCACTTTACGTCAAGCTGATTTTGAGGCTCACAATATTCTCAGGGAGTCTGGTGGGTACCTCGCCTTATCCCGTGGATTAGACTCTTGTTTCAAGATCCCTGCAGACCTGACTGGGTATAATTAGAGCGGTGCTGTCAAAATCTACAAACTCGAATATCTCCAGAAAAGTGATGAACTAATGGGATGACAGGCAAGAGCCTTTTTCTGAAAGCTGAGAAGCTGATAGCTAAAGGACAGGAACTGCTAGCCTTTCTGCTAGCAGAATTAACGTTCGGGGATTTGGGGGGACCGAGGCTTGCCTCTGGCATGTTGTGAAGCTCAGAGGTGTGGTGCTTCGCTGCAGTGCAAACTTCTGCAAAAAATACTGTTAGCTGGCTGAAAGTCAGCAAATTACTTCTCTTTGCTGATGATCTCAGTCATTGGTATTTACCCGAATTAAATAAACTGTGTAAAGAAACTTGACATAGTTTCTAAATCATGGCGGGGGGGGGGGGGGGGGG